GTACCTGTACTGCAGCCTGTACTACCTGCAGTGATACCAGTAATACTGATACCAATCAATACAACACTGATGACGAAGTATGGAATGAACTACTCAACACTACCAGGAACAATGGTCAAGATATTCAAGAAATAAAACAGAAAATTGATGGTACTATTTCTTCTCTCTCTCATATCAAGGAGACTGCTACCTCTAATGCTGGAGCTATCAATGATATACTGCTACTAGTGGAAGACCTTATCATATTACACAATGACTCATCTTCCTTCTCTCCTATCCCTACTTCTTGTCAAGAGATTAAGAACAAACAACCAAACAGTCCTTCTGGTGTATACCTACTTGCAACTAACGATGGAACTAAACATACTTACTGTAATATGGAGGAGCTGTGTGGTTCAGGGGGAGGATGGACAAGACTAGGATATCTGGATATGACTGATGCTACAGTGAACTGTCCTTCTGGTTTCAGACTGCACCAGTCAGGAGGAGTTAGAGCTTGTGGTAGAGCAACATCAAGTGGAGGCAGTTGTACATCAGTTCAGTTTTCATCTAATGGTATCAGTTACTCTGAAGTGTGTGGTAGAGTAGTGGGATATCAATGGGGATCACCTGATGGAGTATATCCAGGCAGATATGAAGATGAAATTTATGGTAGTGTTATTGATTCCAATCACAATGATATCAATTCTTATTATGTTGATGGTGTTAGTATCACTCATGGGTCTCCTCGTCAACATGTCTGGACACTAATAGCTGGACTGAATGAAGCTAGTAACTTTACTCTTACTAATGATGGTCGTTACAATTGTCCTTGTTCTCAAGGCAGTCCTCAAAAATCAACTCTTCAGTCTTTCATTGGTAATGACTACTTCTGTGAATCTGGTAATCCTGCTACTGATGGTACACATCAAGGCATACTCTATACATCTGATCCATTGTGGGATGGTAAAGGATGTGGTAGTTTTGAAGGTGATTGTTGTGCAGCTCCTGGTCTTCCATGGTTCAATAAGGTACTCAGTAACAACACTACTGATTTCCTTGAGCTGAGGGTTTGTGCAGATGTTGCTACAACTGGTGATGATGTTCCTGTGAGTTTTTATGAGTTGTATGTGAAATGATGAGAAAACTGAACAATTCAATTAGTAGTAGTTTAGTTATTTAGTATACATGTAAATCTAGGAACTAAAATTTATTGTCACTGAGATAGCAATAATTTTAATGGTTGTAGCATTTGGCCATTATGTGGTAAAAATGACAGTATCATTTTAACATTTGATTGTAAAAGTATTCCAGTTGTCATGCAGTTATTTTTTAATTGTCATTGTTTTAAGAAAAATTTTGATTAAAAACTATAATTTTTTGCTTATTAAAATGCACATTCATTGTACCAGTTTACAGAAATTGTCTCGGAAATTTCAAAGCTAACAGAAAAGTAGGCTGAGCTTCTATTAATCTAATAACGTTGCTATTCATTTTACTCATTGATTAGCTAGGTTAAAACA